TATTGAGAAATCCCTATATAGGTCGACCTTCATCCTCTGTAGCAAGGCACACATCCAAAATGCTTGACTCTTCTTCCTTGCCAAGGATACATCTGCGACCAAACCTCTCAACATACTCAGTTTTCTTCCTCCCTGAAAATACCTCTTCAACCAAGTCACACCAGAGCAAACGTATCTCATATCATAAAGGTTGAAAGTAAGAGTATCTTATAACATGTTTTCTTCCTGTCATTTTCTTTGTTTTTGTTCTTCCCTGCAGGATGAGGAGAAAGAGAGCAATCAGTCAACACTTGCAATCAAGCTTCCAGTCAGGAACCGACTACCTGGAATCCTTTCCCTGATTGCTTACCTAGCACTGCTCTCAAGTACTCATCTTCAACATTGATGTACTTCCGAAGAAGATACCGGATTCCTGGAGAACATATAAGGAAAGTGAAAATGATACATCGAAGCATGTGGAGACAAGAGCAACAAATACATATGCTGATTCATCCACTACTTCTTCAAAAGTAAAAGTATCTCATATCATTAAGGCCGAAAGCAAAAGTATTTCATATCATGTTTTTTCCCTGTCTTTCCCTTTGCCCTTGCTCTTACCTGCAAGACAAAGAGAAAGAAAGCAATCAGTTAGAACCTGAAATCAAACTTCAGATCTGGAACTGATTGCCCGTAACCTTTGCCTGGTCGCTTACCTAACATTGCTCTTGAGGATTCATTGTCGCTGAGAAGTAATGTTCTAAATGACCATTTAAATGCAAAGGTTGCATTCCACTCCTGCATTGGGGACAAATACCGCAAGAGATTGAAGCAGAAGGATCAATGATGAGCTGGAAGAAATCACTATAGCACGACGCACTTCCCTGTAGAATTGCATACTTCTTGAGAAATGTTAAGGAGACTTTCTCAAATGTGAGACTTTCCATAGACTCTCTGTCACCTCTTGTTTTTCGCACAACGTATTATAATGTTAGCACGAGAATTGAAATTAAACTTCGGATGACAAAGAGTACACGAAGAGTCTCACTTTAAGATCTCCTTAGAATTTCTCAGTTTTCTTTATTTTGACTAGCAAAGTAGGAATTGAATGTGTGGAGGTGGGAGTAGAGAAACATAGTAATGAACCACAAATTATCGAACTTTTACTAATTGGTTATTATTCGTTATCATTATTCTATTAATCAAATTCCTCCACCAAAATCTTTTGGGTTTTTATCATAAATGGTCTGTAAAATTGACCCTCACCTTCAAGATGGTCCCTGAAATTGAAAATCAATCAATATAGTCCCTGAAAATAGGTGTTGCAAATCAATGTGGTCTTTCCATCACAATTCTGTTAAAAATTTTGTTAAGTGCTGATGTAGCACATAAATAGGTCCCATAAGTCATTTATTCTTACAAATGGTCTTTGAAATTGACCTAGGACACCAAATTGTCCCTGAAATTGACCTATGACATCAAAATTGTAACATCCCATATCGACCAACGGAGAGGGGGTGATGTGCTTTATATGTACATACTCCCCTCCCTATAGCACGAGGCCTTTTGGAAGCTCACTGGCTTCGGGTTTCATCGGAACTCCGAAGTTAAGCGAGTTCGGGCAAGAGCATTCCCAGGATGGGTGACCCACTGGGAAGTTCTCGTGTGAGTTCCTAGAAAAAAAACCGTGAGGGGGTGGCTAAGGCCCAAAGCGGACAATATTGTGCTACAGCGAAGCCGAGACTGTGATGTGACAAAAATGGTTCCTGAAATTAAAAATTGATCAATGTAGTCCTGCAAGTGTCTCAAATCCATGTAGTTCTTCCATCACAATTTTGTCAAAAATTTTGTATGTGCTGATGTGATAGATAAATTGGTCATACAAGTCTAATGAAATTTAAAAAAAAAAATTACAAATAGGCTTAATAATTTAATAGTTAATAAAAAAAAATTGTCAACCCAAAAACTCAGTCCTGCAATCACCTCTGATCCCAGTCCACATTTCTCTACCTCATTCGCTCTCTATTCTCTAAAAAAATATATTTCAATATACCCATCTTTACACATTTCGACACCCTTCACCGAATTGAACCTGAATCGATATCACCTTTGGTGATGGCTTGGCTAAGTGGCAACGACTCCTAGGACATCACCGTCAATATTTAGGCGATCAACATCCTCATAACCTTAATCTTGGAAAGCTTGTTCGGCGCTTCCCTGATGGTATGGTGATGCAAAGAACAACGAGGTCTGCCTTGAGATAATGAGGTTATACCAGAGGTGCGTCTATTATTGGTTGAAAACTATTTTCACACCCCCTCTTAGGCCTTGGTTAAGTCTTGTGCCTTTGAGAATTTATTGAAGGGATCTCTAGTTGGAGTAGGCCCTACTATAAGAAAAAAAAATTCATTGTGCAAAAAGATATTTAGACAACTATTTTAATTAATTATTAAATCCACATTAGCACATAACAAATTTTTTTTTTACAGAATTGTGGCTAAAGGATCATATTGATTTGCGACATCTATTTTTAAGGACTACATTGATCGATTTTCAATTTCAGGAACCATTTGTGATAATAACCCGTAAATCATGTGGGACCTATTTATGTGCCACATCAGCACTTAACAGAATTTTTTAACAGAATTGTGACGGAATGACCACATTAATTTGTGACACCTATTTTCAGGGACTATATTGATTGATTTTCAATTTCAGGGGCCATTTGTGACAAAACCCCAAATCTTTTTGTTATGGTCACAATTTCCTTAGATCATAAGATCTGTTATGCTGAAATACATAAACAATTTAACTTGAATTGTAAATATAGGAGGTTTTTAACTGTGTTTCAAAGTATTAGATACTCAAGGTATTTTCAACGTTGGTTGTTCGGTTAAAAACAAACAATTAAGATCTGATGGTTAAAACGTCTAAAATATCCTATATTCTGGAGCATTATAGAAATTTTGGTGAATATAATAGAAGTAAATATCAATGGTAGTGTTGTGTTTTTGCAACTCTGCCCTTTAATCAAAACCCTTGTAATTTACTCCTTAACCTCTAAATTCTACCCTTTATTTTGAAAAAAAAAAAGACTTCCCTAAAAATTCCTCAAATTTAAAGTCGTTTATGTAAACATACAACTAAAAATTATTATTCTTGAAAGTTATGGGTCATTCGTTACACTTGAGCTGAGGGGCTTCTAATCATTGCAGCAAAAAAGTACATATTTGGCCAGATTTTTATTTTAACGAAAATATGAAAACAAAATTGAAGAAGTGCATTTTGTATCTCGGATGGAGTTGTCCCAAATATTTGGGGTTATCGCTTTATTTTCTTTTATTTTTTGCAAGGAAGAGATTTCCTCACACTTTTTTTTTGGATAAATTAGGATCCAGTTCCTAGTTACCAATACTCTATGATTGGAACCTTCTTGAATTTTATTTTCTGTTGAAGGTCCCTAGACTTTGTACATATCAGCATTTTCACATATTTCATATCAGCTTTTTATTTTATTTATTAAAAATTTTAATTTATAACTTATCCCTCATATCATTCATTATCACTATCAAAATAATTAAAGAGCATTGTAACTCAAACTCCCATATTTCAGTTGCCCAATTCAAGCTATTTTGTTTTTGGTACGTTTGCATTCAAATTCATCAATTCAAATTTCGCCAAAATTTGAGCCGTACTCATATGTTCGCCACAAGCATTCAAACAAACAAGATTTTTTGCAAAAGATTTGAAGATACTGCATTCGTTTTTTCTTACATCGGAGAGACTTTGTTAAGATTTTTATATGGAATCTTTGTACCATAGTTCTACCCAGTCGGAGGTATTTCAAGCGGGGAAGAACTGCATTGCATTTGCAGAGGAACTTGGAGATCCTACGACCAGTTCGAGGGGTTTTTTTAACTTTCTTTTTTGACAAGGTGTTTTTGTATCTTCAATTAACAATTTGTATTTTCATTAAAAAAAAACGACTTGTATTTGGATATGCGAGCATTTCATATTAGTTTGTATTTTTGCACAACAAGTGTTTGTTAAAGTGTTTGAATACTTTTTTTTTTTCCCTTATGGGGCTTAAAAGGCTAGGCGCGGGGTACAATCTTATTGCATTGGGTACATTTTTTGTTAGCATATATGGTGACTGCAAAATTAGTTTTTTAATCTTGGGTACAAACTAGCAAATGAGGTAAACATAAATACCGGAAGACTTTTGCTATCAATGGGACTAAAAAGGCCATATGCGTGGGGGGTACATTCTTACTGCATGGAGTACATTTTTCTATTAGCATGTATGGTGACTTCACATTAACTTTTCAATGGCAGACTCTGAAGTGAGTTTGTGTTTTGTAATGAAGATACGTGACTTGTTCAATGGCACACTTTGAAGTTTGTTTTTATTCAGACTTTATGGTTCATAAAGTCTGTCTTGGGTACAAACTATAAACTGAAACGGAATAGCTTAAATTGGGGGACTAAAATTTGGGAGTTTCAGCTTACAATGCTCTCCGATTATTTTGCTGTGATAATGAGTGATATGAAATATAATTTTAAATTAAAAAAATTTTAATAAATAAAATAAAAGGTTAACATGGAAATATGTGAATAGTAAAATGTTGATGTGTACAAAGCCCAAGGACATTAATCAGAAATTGAAATTCAATAAGGTTTCAATCAAAGAATTATACCAACTAAGGACCGGATACAAAGTGTCCCCCTTTTTTTTTCTTATGTTTATTTTAGTTGACAAGTCAAATAAAATCAGGGAACACAACTAAAAACGAAAAAAATTATGTGTAAAATCATTTCTCTTTAGTTGACAATTCATAATTTTCTGACATAGCATTCATAATTTTCTTACATAGCACACCATCTCATTACCCCTGTTGTACAATTAATTCCTACATTATACCTCCAATAAAGTAATTAGACTATTGTTAATGATTAATTAATTATCAAAACAATAATCCAATTTCAAGTGCTAGCAGTAATCCATGCATGCACCTCCTAAATTTCTAATAAGGTTTCTCTCCAGCCCAATTTCCAGGTGGATCATAGTTGCATATGACGAGCTCCCCTGCTCCATTGCTGCAAACCTCTCGTGCACAACCCAGACGCTTCGTGTCCTTCCACACCATTTGCGTGTAATGCCCACACATTTGCCCGGGTTTGCAACTATTGGTCTTGTAATCATAGAACAACTTCTCATGTGACCACGAATTCACCGCGAACCTCGCCCCCCACGGTTGTTTCCCGCCACCCCAGAAGATGTTCTCCCCATAACGGCCCATCGAGTGTACCATCCTGCAGTCTATGGTCGCTCTCGTTTTCGTGTAAACCCTAGCAACCGCTGCTAGTTTTTCGTCCCACTGCAAGGGCGGTAGGCCAATTTTCCATCGTACATTGTTGTGAACCTTCAAAAATTCCTGAGGGGTCGCTGTCGGAGCACGAAGGATAGGATGATGACGAGTTATGGTAGCCTCAAGACATATGCTAATGCATAGGAAAGTAAATAAAATTGTTACACTGCTTCCCATTGCTGTTGTTGTTCTTTCGAATTGTTGGTACTCTTTGCCTCGACTTGTAAGTCGTATAAATAAGCTGATCAGAAGCCTCTCAGGGTCCTTTGAAATAACAGAAAACTATTAAGTTGTTTTTCTGACTGGTTCTTTCATTGGTTTCCTATATTATATTGGAAAGGTTTTAGCTAATTAGTTTATTAACAATATTAGTGCTAATTAACATGTTAGTGCGTTATAACTGAAAACTAATTAACATAATTACGTGTTGTCACTTCTAGTTAGTGACTCTTTGAACTTTGAAGGTCAATTTATTTTTAATTTTCATATTTTCTTTGCACGCTACACCTAGAAGGAAAAAAAATAGGATGGTACTTGCATTCACTCATGGGAATGCATTATCTCGCCCACTTGTGAATCACGTATCTTCAATGTATAAAATTATAATCGAAACCCTTTCAATTTCTCTTAATCTTCATATGAATATCATCTGCAAAAAACCATTTGAATCAGAGAGTTTAGGGTTTAGGGTTAGAGTAGCTTTGCCACTGCATATTCATGATGGACCGTCTATATATTTAATGAATTTGGGTAACACAACAATTTCCTATTTAAATGATTTTTTTTTATAAGCATGATCCTCAAATGAAATTTAAAGAATTGAACGATCTCTATTACAAAATTTATAAGGTGAAGATACAATATTCACGAGTAAAGTATGCGCACGGAGGAATGTAAGTATTTATATTTTGATTGGAAGGGATGCAAGTATTATCCAAAAATAAATTGAAAACACGTGGCACGAGCGGGGGTGGGTGGAACCGCGTTTTGGGCTCCGTTGGGATGTAGCCTATGGTGGCTTTTGGAGAATGAAAATAAATAAAAGTTGTGTTGTGGTCTGAACTTTGTGTTGTGGTCTGAACTATCTATTTTTAAGGTCTCGCATGGTGTTGCCAAAAATGCTCTCAATCTAGAAGAGGCAATCCGTTGGATTGTTGAGTAAAAAAGGCCATCCATTTGGTTATTCAACTCCTATGATTACGTCTGTGGGTATTTGTTAGAATGTCTTCTGACATTACAAAACATTTGCTATGAGAACATGTACGAAATTGTTGCAGTATGCTTGTTTTACTAACCGTGTATTTACAACATTGTTATTGCAGGAAAATTTGTCTGTGGTGATCATGTCTCCCTGGACACGATCAAACGAAACTCGTTCAAGGACGTTGAATTGGTGGTGCTACATGTCAAAATCTACTTCCGTTCTTGGTAGAATTTTTCTATCTAGCCTTCTATCAGCTTAATTTCAGTTTCTCTTTGCTCAATCAACCACTTAGGATCTTCTTTTGTTGAAAAACGCACATCTAATTGATGTGCACCTGAGAAACAAAAAGCAAAAGAATAGTACTTTTAGTAGACGAATACTGCAAGAACAGTTTGAGGCTTCAAGCAGTCTCTTGTTTTTCTGAGTGCTCAGACGACAAGTATTAAAAACAGACGTGTCTGACCACTCGAGAAGGCAAGTGGTCAGCGCATGGTTTAGCTTTGTAAGGGCAACCGTTAAGTATAGAAGATACCTTCTTCAGCAACAATAGCAAACATACGTTCTGCAGGACACTGTAATAGATATCATTCACAGCCATTAGAACTCAAATAATTAAGTAACAAAAATTAAAACCGAAAAAGCCCACATATCGGAAACCCTAGCCACTCCTGCTTTTCTCTCTCGTAGGATCCCCCCCAAATTCCCAGCCTTCACCACCGACTCCTTCCTCTAGTTGAAGTCGCACAAGTAGAAAGACATGTTTGCGCGACGACAACTTGCGCAACGGAGCCAATTTTGTCGCGCAAAGTATGTTTGCGCGACGCAAAACACAAAATGTCGCGCAAAAGGACTTTGCGCGACGAAGTCTGGCATCGCGCAAAACGGTTTTGCGTGACGTAGATGCTACGTCGCGCAAAGTTTTTTTTTTTCCCTTTTGCTTTTCTTTTGGGGTTCTTGCCTTTTTCTTTTGTGGTATCCACTTGTGTAAATATTTTAAATTGACGATCGAATTAGTTCATTGTATTCATATAGGTTTAAAGAGTGTAGCTGTAAAAAATCATCAAAATCAGAGTTAAAATAATCGTTAAATCGTGATCTTTCGTTTATAGCCGTCCAAAAGGTTTGTCCTGTTACATAATCTCTGAATGTTTGATGGTTAGATCGTTTAAACTAATTTCGTATAATGTGTTTCTCATCAAGTTCAATGGTTATATATATTCACACCTACGTCGTGCAAAGTTTTTTTTTTCTTTTTTTTTTGCCCTTTTGCTTTTCTTTTGGGGTTCTTGCATTGCCTTTTTCTTTTGTGGTATCCACTTGTGTAAATGTTTTAAATTGACGATCGAATTAGTTCATTGTATTCATATAGGTTTAAAGAGTGTAGCTGTAAAAAATCATCAAAATCAAAGTTAAAATAACCGTTAAATCGTGATTTTTCATTTATAACTATCCAAAAGGTTTGTCTCGTTACATAATCTCTGAATGTTTGATGGTTAGATCGTTGAAACTAATTTCGTATAATGTGTTTCTTATCAAGTTCAATGGTATATATATAAGTATATTTTAATTTATTTATTTTGTACTCATAAGCAAAAGAGAGAAAAAAAAAAAAAAAAAACAACTTTGCACGACGTAGGTGAACCTGCGTCGCGCAAAGTTGTTTTGCGCAACGCATCACCTACGTCGTGCAAAGTTTATTTATTTATTTATTGCCCTTTTGCTTTTCTTTTGAGGTTCTTACATTGCCTTTTTCTTTTGTTGTATCCACTTGTGTAAATGTTTTAAATTGACGATCGAATTAATTCATTGTATTCATATAAGAGTGTAGCTATAAAAAATCATCAAAATTAAAGTTAAAATAACCATTAAATCGTGTTTTTTCGTTTATAGTCGTCCAAAAGGTTTGTCTCATTACATAATCTCTGAATGTTTGACAGTTAGATCGTTGAACTAATTTCGTATAATGTGTTTCCCATCAAGTTCAATGGTATATATATTTACTAAGTAGATTTTAATTTATTTATTTTGTACTCATAAGTCATAAGCAAAAGAGCAAAAAAAAAAAAACAACTTTGCACGACGTAGGTGAACCTGCGTCGCGCAAAGTTGTTTTGCGCGACGCAACACCTACGTCGTGCAAAGTGTTTTTTCTTTTTTTTTCTCTTTTTTTGCCCTTTTGCTTTTCTTTTGGGGTTCTTGCATTGCCTTTTTCTTTTGTGGCATCCACTTATGTAAATGTTTTAAATTAACAATTGAATTAGTTCATTGTATTTATATAGGTTTAAAGAGTGTGGCTGTAAAAAATCATCAAAATCAGAGTTAAAATAACCGTTAAATCGTGATTTTTCGTTTATAGTTATCCAAAGGGTTTGTCCCATTACATAATCTCTGAATGTTTGACGGTTAGATCATTGAACTAATTTCGTATAATGTGTTTTCCATCAAGTTCAATGGTATATATATTTACTAAGTAGATTTTAATTTATTTATTTTGTACTCATAAGCAAAAGAGCAAAAAAAAAAAAAAAAAAAAAAAAAAACTTTGCGCGACGCAGTTGCACGTACGTTGCGCAAAGCTGATTTTTTTTTCCTTTTGCTTTTCTTTTGGGATTCTTGCATTGCCTTTTTCTTTTGTGGTATCCACTTGTGTAAATGTTTTAAATTGACGATCGAATTAGTTCATTGTATTCATATAAATTTAAAGAGTGTAGCTATAAAAAATCATCAAAATCGGAGTTAAAATAACCATTAAATCATGATTTTTTTGTTTATAGTCGTCGAAAATGTTTGTCTTGTTACTTGATTTCTGAATGTTTGTTTTTTGCGATTTTTAACGTATGTGATCTCAAAGCATATATAAACAAACAAGTTTGACGGTTGGATCGTTGAAACTAGTTTCATACAATGCATATCCCATCAAAACAATAGATTCACTAACACTTGAAGTTTATTTATACTTTTATTAAGTATAACATAAGATTTTGTGGTATCCACTTGTGTAAATATTTTAAATTGACAATCGGAGTTAAAAGAACCGTTAAATCGTGACTTTTCGTTTATAGTCATCCAAAAGGTTTGTCTCGTTACTTGATATCTGAATGTTTGTTTTTTGCGATTTTTGGTGTATGCGATCTCAAAGTATATACAAGCAAGTTTGACGGTTGGATCGTTGAAATTAGTTTCGTACAATGCATATCTCATCAAAACGATAGATTCCCTAACACTTAGAGTTTATTTATACTTTCATCAAGTATAACATAAGATTTGTGTGGTATCCACTTGTGTAAATATTTTAAATTGACGATCGAATCTGTTCGTTGTATTCATATAAGTTCAAGGAGTATAGCTGTAAAAAAATCATCAAAATCGGAGTTAAAAGAACCGTTAAATCGTGATTTTTCGTTTATAACCGTCGAAAAGTTTTGTCCCGTTACTTGATCTCTGCATATTTGTTTTTTTTCAATTTTTGGTGTATGCGATCTCAAAGCATATACAAACAAGTTTGACGGTTGGATCTTTGAAACTAGTTTCGTACAATGTGTATCCCATAAAAACGATAGATTCCTTAACACTTAGAGTTTATTTATACTATCATTAAGTTTAACATAACATTTTGTAGTATCCACTTGTGTAAATATTTTCAATTGACGATCAAATCAATTCGTTGTATTCATATAGGCTCAAGGAGTGTAGCTGTAAAAAATCATCAAAATCGGAGTTAAAATAACCGTTAAATCGTGATTTTTCGTTTATAACCGTCGAAAAGTTTTGTCCCGTTACTTGATCTCTGCGTGGTTGTTTTTTTTAATTGAATTTGAAAAAAGGAAAGTCACATTTTTCAGTAATTTTTATAATAATTAAAAAAAAAATTACCTTGCGCGACGCCTTAATGTGGTCGTGGCGCAAAACCACTTTGCGTGACCTCCAATTGTATACCTACATAGCGCCAGTTTTGATAATTTAGGCGGTTCAATAGTGAAAAATAGGCGGTTTTTTTTCAATATTCCAACTTTGGACCCAACTCTTTCTTTCCCATAGACCTCTCTCTTCCCTCTCGCTAATCTCAGACTCTCTCTCGACCTCTCATCGACCTCGCCTCGACCTCACTCCTCCGTGTCCTCACCCTCACTCAGGCACTCTCTCTCGACCTCTCCTCGACCTTTCCTCGACCTCACCCTCACTCAGTCACTCTCTCTTGACCTCACCCTCCTCGCCGATTTCTCTTCTCCTCCCACATCAGACAAGTGACTCACCCCTCATCCCTCACTTCCTTCTCATCCCTCACCTCACTGTGCACCAATCTGTTTAGTACGGACATTCTTGCTGCACATTGAATTGGAAATTGTAGCTGAGATTATTAATAAAATTTACTGAAAAGTTTCATAACAGAAGCAATTTTTGGGTTGATTTATGATTTGGGTATTGAATTGGGATGCGCTTTAACTGTTTGATGTTTTGCATTCATTGGGGGTTGTCATTCAATTGTGATGGGTTCATAATGTTGCTGAAGTTACCTGAATTGCGGTGTTTGGGTGCTTAATTGCTCATCTTGTTTGCGCCGCAAATTGAGTTATTGTGTGTGAATTATGTGTCCTGTTTTCCGTAGATGGGTTTTCGTTTTGGGAAAAATCTAAATCGGTAGTAGTGATAAAGAAGGACGGCTTCTTTGGTATGGTTGTATTCCATGGGATGCGCTTGAACTGTTTGATGTTTTTGCACTCATTCAGGGTTTCCATTAAATTGTGATGGGTTCATAATGTAATGTTGTGCTGAAATTACCTGAATTGTGGTGTTTGGCTGCGTAATTGGACATCTTATTTGCGCCGTAAATAGAGTTATTGCGTGTGAATTATGGGACTTGTTTTCCTTGGATGGGGTTTGGTCTCAAGACAAATCTGACCCGGTAGTGCTGATAAAGAAAGACGGCTTCTTTGCTATGATTGACGGGTACATACAAGAATCCATGTTTCTACTTGGCGTTGTGGTTTGCATCTTTGGTAGTGGCTCATGTTTTTTTGTCTGTGCAATTGATACAAGTCTTGTAGTGAATAGGTTATGTTCTGCTTTGCTTATTAAGTGTTGCAGGCTTGCAGTTGTAGTTAATTTCTGAATGTATCATTAACTTTGATAGTTTGTCTTCTTTGGATAAAACAATAGTTGTATTAACTCATTAAATCTACCAACTTTTTAATAGCAGTCATTCAACTCAAAGATGCAAGAATGTAGTTATTTGGTTTCTGATTTTGGTGCCACAACGGAAATGCTTTAACTGTTTGATGTTCGGAACTCATTATGCGTTTTTGGCTTAGGTTCTACATTGTAATTGCATAATACACACATTTAAATAACCCCATTATGAGGACTTATCATTTTCTATTCATCTACAGGACTTTGATGAGTGCATCGATTATATTGATGTAGCTACAAGATCTGGTGGTGGTGTGTTGGTTCATTGCTTTGTGGGAAGATCCAGAAGGTAATTTTATCTTCCAGTATAGGTTATTGCTTTCAGGTTGTCTTCTTCGCTGTCTTAATTTAAGTCATTGGTTAAGTGAATCCTTCAAACAAGGTTCTGTTGATCTCTTTGATACAACATGGATAAGAAATAATGTTTTAGCATAAATTTTCTACAATTTTGCATCTCTGTTATTAATATTAGAACAGAAAAAAATTTGGGCTTTCAATTGTTGGTTTTAACTGGTTAAAGGTCAAGAGTTATGTAGTTTTGGGATTCCCGATTTATGCTGCCTTCGATAGAGCATAGTATGGGGTCATTTAGGTACAATGTGAAAGGGAGAGTAACAGACCAGCAAACTAGCATCTTGAAATGGGAGTTCATTTTTTGTGTACCTCAAATTTGCAGGTGAAAAGTGTATTGAGGTTACACCAACGTCCTAGAGCGCTTCAATCTCCGAAGAGTTGTGCACCGGTTGTGGTATCTGTGTTCATGTATGTATGATTGTATTTGGTTTGGTTGAAGTTTCCTCTTTTTTATTCATCTTCTCTGATTGTGTTGAAGAGGCATTCTTTTGACTCTGGCTTATCATGTGATGATGTAGAAATGCCCGTTTAAAGCAATTCAAATCATCAACTTGCCGAAGGCATTGGACAAAGAAACAACACACCGTTACAGGCCTAACCATTTTTAAAGTACACAGGCCAGTCTCAGTCGGTTCCTTATAACTTTGTCGAGAACTTCGATCAGTTTCATGTTTTAGTGTTTTAAGATGGTAGAAAGAATCTAAATCCTACATAATTTCAATTTACAGGTTACCGGTCCCTTGGCCAGGGGAAGTTCTTGGTTTGGTTGGCATTGGGAAGTCAACTGCCCTAAAAAATTTGTCGGGCAGTTCGAAACCAAATTTGGGTCATTTCAATGTAATACTCTTTACTTTTAGTTTTATTTTCTGCTAAGTATATGATAACTTTTCTTAAGTTTAGTTGATGTGTTAGTTCTTGTTAAAGACTATATATCTTTGACCCTTTTGCAGAATCCTCCAGATTGGCAAGAAATCTTGACGTACTTTCGAGAATCAGAGCTGCAAAGTTATTTTATTCGTCTCTTGCAAGAAATCTTGATGTAGTTTCGTAGGAGACTACTTTAGTTTTTTCTTTTTTGTTCGGACATCTTGTGTGTACATTTTCATATATTTTATAATTAAATACTTTTGCTTGGTTAATTAATTATTCTTTAGAATTTAATTACAATATTTATCAAAAATTAAAAAAAAATATTTTTGACCAAAACAAAAAAAAGGGGTTTGCGCGACGCACGTCCTATGTCATGCAAATCCACTTTGCGCGACGCATGTCCTATGTCGCACAAAGCCACTTTGCACGATGTAGGACGTGCGTCGCGCAAAGTGGCCTTGCGCGACGTAGGATGTGCGTTGTGCAAAGTGGCTTTGCGCAACTCATGTTATTTCTTCGTCGCGCAAACCCTAGTGTCACTGCCTTGGTGCGACGGCTAGCGCGCAACAAAGATTGTGTCGCGCAAACCCTTGAGCAACGATTTTTGACTTTGCGCACGAATGTACGTATGTCGCGCAAAGTGTTTTTTTTACTAGTGTCGGCCAGCTTTCCCTTGCTGCTCCCCTTTTTCTTCTCCTCTCTAACTCATTTCCCTCGCCCTCTGGTCATCCTCCTTTCCCCACCGCCCTTTTCTCCTCCTGCTGCAACCCAACCCACTACCTATACCCCCAAGTTCTCCCTCTTCCCCTATCACGCCTTCCCTCCTCTGTTTTTTTCCTACGGTGCTTTTTTCTATTTTCATTTTTGGCTCTCTTTGAGCTTTGTCTCAGTTCGTTTGAGCTTTGTCTCAATTCTCTGAGCTTGTCTCAGATCGGAACCTGTAGACACCTTCCTGCTCCGATGTTTCCTTCCGTTGTGAGTCCACAACTACCAACCCCTGCTTCTCAGCCCCGAGTGCTTCTCCTTGGTGAAGTGCTTGGGTTTTGGGTAGTTGTTAAAGTGCTTTTTGCACTATTTGGTAGGATTATGGGAGCGTTCACATCACTGGTGGCTCGCTCACCCCCATTTTCCTTTGATCCGGTTGCTGTTTTTGGTTCGATTTTTGGTGGTGGTGGCCTTCCGATGGAGGTGCGTCAAATTTGGTGGTGGCTGCTGGTTTCCTCTTTATTATTAGGATTTTCTGTTGTCATTTAGCTATGCCTTTTCGGCTTTGTGTTGTTTTTATTTTTTCCTGTTAGGAATTGTATTTCGGTTGTGAGATGTCTTTTGGACTCTCTTTTCTTTGTATTAGTCTCTTTGTTAAATGGAAAAGTATCTTAGTTTGTCCAAAAATAAAAAAAAAGAACTCAAATAATTTATGTTGGACAGCTATAATTGCCAAATCATATTTAAAACAAACAGTTACCTACCACCACTCCAAGAATCCAATAAGCCATTGGAGAAAATGATGTCTCTTCCCAATGCTTTCAAGGTGGCCATAATATCCTTCAAATTGAATTGACAAGAGTATCAGTATCAAACTATAAACACTTTCAAAGAAAAGAAAATCGCCTATTTAAGAAGTTACGGAACATGCAACAATCCACATTCTTCAGATAGCAGATAAGTACATAGCACTGGTGTAAACCATATAGATTAAAGACTGGCATGACGAGTAACGTAATAATGAAATGATCAGATGTTAACATACTTTGAAGAGGAAAGGATAAACAAATTCGAAATGAAACATTTTCTTACTTGTCCGACAAATTATTTTGTGATCCACCTAGGCCTTGGTTTCACATTATAATTCTTCCAGCATTCCTCCTCAAAAGAAGAGAGAATAAAATCATAAGTTGAAAACATGTTTGCACCCCGGTTACTAGACATTGGCATAAACATTTCTGTGCAAGCCTGTGTATTTTTTTATGATTACCTAATTTCAACCATTATGTTGATCTGAAAACGAAACTAATATTACTGTAACGCTGATAGACCTACCAATTCCAACCATCTGTACCAACATCGGAAGTATCCTCCAGCTCAAACCGTTCAGCTTGTCCAATGTAACTGTAGAATATGCTTATTCCTTCAAATACGTGCTCTAGTGTGCTAGTCCTATCCGGACAACCATCAATCTTTCTGCAAACCTACAAGAAGAGCCAAATGAGTATTTTGATTTACCGCAAAGCAAAAACCATCGCAGAAAATTCTACTAAACAAATATTCAAAGTACCACAGCCCTAAAAGAAAATATTAAAAGAGAAACAGGAACACATTAGGTTAGAACTCCAAAGTATTCATGCATATCTAACAAAAAGCAGAGCAGTCTTTACTAAAAATTTATGGCCTTAATTCCTAAAATAAGATATAAATTGCAATCGCTTTCTACAGACAATGATTCGCAATCACTGTTATTGGAAAAGAAAAAAAAAATTCACTGAAGAAATCATCCGAAGAGACAGAATAGTTAATCATCAAAATAGAGAATAGAACAATGACTGAACCTCCTATATTATTATTAAATCAAAGGAGCCCTTGGTTAGGGGAAATAAGGAACTTGTATGCACCTTCGAATTCTCCTTTCCTAGATTAATAATTTTCAAGATCATTTCCTTTGTAATTTTGAAAAGGCTTTGGTATATAGGACATGGTGCATTTGCATCACAAGAGAATAATGGTGAATTATTTGGTCTCAAAGCAAACTTTAATCACAAAGTATAATAGGCTACTACCTATTATGCGTCTGTTCTGTGAAAAAAATGATCAACTAAGATGTTCAGGCAAACTGAGTACATATCACCAACTCTTATTCCCCTTACATAAATATAGCCATTTTTCCCAACAGTAACAACACCATTCCTGAATCTTGTTTCAACACCTTTCTTTTCTAGGACAGAGATAGAGACAAGATTCCTCCTAATATTTGGTGCAAATAGAACATTTTAAGCACAATGATAGATTTACTATTGTTGATCTTGCAATCTCCTTACCCAAAACATCGACATAAGTATTGTTGCCTATGTAGAGACAGTGTTCTCCTAGTGCTTTCTCCTTGAAGTTGATGAAGCAACTTTTGTCTTTGTATACATGACAAGTTGCTCATGAGTCTATCTATCATTGTCCTTGATCTTCAGCAATGAGTGCTTCTGTTTGGACCCAAATTTACACTATCGGCCCGTGCAGTCAAGGCCGTTAGATGAGTAAAGTTCTAGACCGTGGGATGATAAAGTGGTTGAGATAATTTTCAATTATTATTAAGAACCGTGTGGAGAAATTCTACAAGGTTGGAATGGGATGATCAGTATGATGAGATGCTGTGCGTGCGAAAGTCTCTCAGATATCTACTATATATATATATATGTATATATATATATATATATATATATATATTAGGCCTGCATGCCTATGCGGCTATGCCGTGCGTACGAAAAGCTCCCAACTCCTAAAATATCTATTATATATATATATATATATATATATAATAGTGGTTATTACTATTTGGTCAGATGATGTGATAAGTCTTGATAGACTTTTGGTTTGTTTGAGAAGGCACGACAGTTTGAAAGGATAGCCCTCTGATATATCAAATTTCTTTTCACAAGTTTGAGTTACAAATGAACTCTATGAAGTTACCAGGCCGTGCCCAGCAAGAACTGATCACTATAAGTACAAGGCGCTCTGCATCAGAAAAAGACCCACAAAATCAATACAAAATTGCCCTGCGCAAACTCTCACAACTTGAGATCTTTTTCTTTTCCTTTTTCGCTGACACATCTTCCGTTGGCATCAACAGCACTGTGGAAGCAACCGGTGATATCTTAAGTCGGCATAGATAGCTCTCTCTGTCACCGTAGAGTCGGTCGGTCTCGCAGTATCTTCCGTTGGCATCAACAGCACTGCGGCGAGAACGGTCGATTACCTATCCAAGTCTCGGTCGAGAAGGGTTTTCGAATCCTTGTTGGTCGAGGTCATCTCATTAGTCTTCTCGGCGAGGTGAGGTGTCACAGTTATTACATTCGGCACATTGCAAGCCGAATTCGGTTCGTGAACTTTGTAAGAAATAGCAGCCTTGTCTTCAGGCTCGAGAACCCAAGAGGCCGAGACGTGTTCCTTTCTCGGCCGCAATCGCAAGACGCAGAAGTCAGTAGCGCGACCCAACGCAGCATCATCAAATTTACTCCTCGGCCGAGCCTCGGCCGACGAGTTGGCACGCCCGCAATCACCGAAGGACGTAGTTAGCTTAGAATATACTTGGCCTGCGCGCCACGTAGGCTTTGTAATTTCTAGGGTCAACATTTTGGCACGCCCGGTGGGATACAGTGCTATACTACGAAGTTCATATGATATATCAAGATTCCAATCTGGCTCAACGTAGCCGATTGTACGAGCTCCTGGAGGAATTGAAAAAACATAATGAGGAATGTAAAAAATCTTTGGAAGCAGAAAAAGTTCTTCGTGGCCATAGAGAGATGCAAAAGTCATTCGCTTGCATGTTGAAAATAAAAGCTCATGTTATCCTACAAGGGCAATGGGTAAATGAAGACAGGGCTCGATTTAATGCCTGGCTAGATGAAGAAAATTTTCCTTACGTTTCTGACTACAGATCAATTCCATTTGAAAAATGGTTAGGCCCAAAGGCCGGGGGGCAATTTTTCGCTTCGGCCGTAATCAGACATCGGCCTAAGAAAATTGTTAATTTGGCCGAAGAACAAAAGCCACCTATTTTTTCGGTCGAGATTGAAAGTGTGGTAGGCCTAGAAGAAAAAATTCAAGTTCTTGAGCTAGATACAAAAATTGACTTGGAAAATGATTCGTCAGAGGAATGCTCCAATGACGAACGAGGCCAAGATATTGGCCTAGCCCAAGAAACTACGCCAATTGATATGATTATTGGCAATAAAGCCGATATGGAGAAATCATGTTCGGCTAAGTTGTTTGAATTAAAAGTTGAAATTATGCCTGGGGGGCATAATAATTGTTCAACACATTCGGCGGCCGAGAATGAAAAATATTTCACCAAGTCAAAAATATTTTGGAAAAATTCTTTATTCGGCCTAAAGCGAAATCAATTTGAAAATTTTGATGTGAAAAGATTTCGGCTCGGAATAAAACATCGTTGGCCTCCTCCTGTTGATAGCTCGGCCACTTTTGTTTTCTGTTATTAAAAAATATTGAATAAATTATTTTCTCAACCCATTCGGCTTTTTAGGCCGATGCATAAGAAAATAAGG